CAATAAAGAACAATTTTCTTGATTTTGCCAAGCTAAAATGAAGAACTGTAGAAAGGGAAAATTGGGAATTTGCAAAAGTTAGTATCAATCAAATTTATTTCAAAAGCTACTCTTGGGTCTTTGACAGGCCTTTTCAGCTGTAGAGTGCCAGAAAAGTGCTCCTAATTAAGCTGTTACAGTTTTCAAATATTTTTCTATTCCTTCCCCTTTATTTATATTTTGTATATTCTCTAGCTAATAAAATTCTTTGACACCTTGCTCGGTTACTGAAAGACATTATTGTCAAATATTTTCATCTTATAAATATTCAATTGAAACTTGCGTGGTTTGTTTAGTTACGCGCTGCTCAGAGAGGAAAGTAATCTTTTTAATTTTAACATATATCTTTGTTTACCCATCATGTTTCATATGATAAAGTGCATGTTTTTTTGGTTTTAATTTGGGTTAATTGCGGATAGACCGCTGGTACTATAGCACAATTGCAGACAAACCCCATCTAGTTTTATTTGTGTGGTAAGACCCCCTGAATGAACTTTTTTGACTTTTAGAGTCAATAAAACTTACTGAAGTGGTCTCTCCGCACTTGGGCAAATAATACTGGGTCTATCTGAACCAAGAGAACTACAAGGGGGTCTATCCGCAGTTGGGCAATAGTACAGGGGGTGTATCTGCAATTAAACCTTTTAATTTTATGATAGCAATCTGCAATACATGTTTCATGGAAAAAATAGTCTTGTTTCTGAAACCTGTCATTTGTGACCTCAGAAAAGCTTATATTTCTCACCATTATGCTTTGAAAATTTCCCTCTTGTGTCTGACTTAACTTTATCATTGCAACTTTGCAGCTTGGTAAAGTTTCTCACTCCTTCATCAGGACTCCAAGGGTACTGGGACCCGTACCCTATTGACATGGAGTTCAAGCCTCCATGCATGGTTCTCTCAACAATCGGGATATCAAAACCGGGAAAACTTGAGGGACAAAATACTAGAGAGTGCTCTACACATCTACACCAACTTCACGTGTGCCTTCCCTCTTCTAGAGGCAAAACTAGATTGTTATATAGAATGTCTCTGGATTTCGCCCCTATACTTAAGCATGTCCCTATGATGCATCTTCTGTGGAGACATTTTGCAGAGAAGGTATGTTTTCTATTCTAATGTAACCCCTTTTCGCATTTTGTTGCTTATTTTGATTAAGAACACAAATCCTGAATTTTTGGGGCAAACACAATCCAAAGTGGAAAACTCAGAGATAGCCTAAAGATTGCTTATTTCTTTCTCATTCGATATACTGATTAATCAAAATTGATATCATTTTGTAAAGGGTAAATTGCACATAAACCCCCTCATCTATAGCTTCAGTTGCACTTAATACCCCTCAACGTATTCACTAGCACAAAAAACACCCCTTGGTTGTCATATCTAGAAAGATAATGGCGACTTATACCCCTCGTTTCCCTTGAATGAAGGGGCTAAATGAGTTGAATGGTGTTCCTGCAAGTCTGCAACTG